TGGTGAAGACATATTGCCGACGTATGTATGCACATGTTCGTGAACACCACGTTGGGGTCGGCTATACCAGTTGGTAGACGAATATTATCCGGCAGACTCAGCGATGTCTGCAGAAGTATACGCTCGATGTTTCGATGTCGGTTCCAGAAGCCGCCATTGATGTCTTCGTCATTGTCATCTGGCATTGGTCGATGTAAGTGAAGCAAATTGCGGCCAAACATCGCAGCTGTCAGAACGATACCGCCGAGTGCTTGAAGGTTTTGCACGCCATTAGGATTCAAGATTTGGTCCAGTGATCCAGTATCCATCGGTTTACTCTTTTCAAATGCTTCTTCGCTTGCTGGTAGGTTTGTCATGATCTAAGAAAACAGTCAGGCTTTGCAGTAGTATGAGCACGAGAGGTCTGTCCTTACGTCTTTCTCATCGTAGGTCATGGGCCAGCCAGTTCCAATACTCGCGTATCGATCAATGCAAAAGGTTAGCCAAAAGGTTCTCCGCCGTTCCTCACGCTCGGTCCAATCCTTGGGTGGAGCCAGGCATTGCTTTACATCTAGTCCAACTCCGTCCAGGCGATGCAGCTGCATCATCTGGGCTAGTCTTGAACCTCTCCCGGATGACATCCAGGCTCTTGGGAAGTACATCTGTCTGAACTCGTACGTAGCCATCAAAACCCATGTCTGGCAATGCGCAAGGGTGATGGTCGACTCTCCGTGGCCTCTCATCTCATCCATCTGCGCATATTTCCTAGCACGTTGATAGAAATGTTCTTGTAACGCCTCGTACTTGTCTGTGATGGAAGCGGCTAGGGTCCACATGATGTATCGCAAACAAACCGGCGGGCGCGCTTGAGGAGAAAGGTTCAGTGCGGCCATAAACCGTGGTCTGTGTATGACGGGCAGTGTGAGATGAATCTTGGAGAAGTATATTTGATATCTGGAATAGCGTCAGCGCAACCACCATGCTACGGGCCAGGTTCTGCTCGTACAAATCGTCCATGATTTCTTGGGGAGGTAAAGGTTCCTCGAGCCCAAGCCCTATCATCTCCCACGAGGTCTCCCGCCCCGCGTCGTTCCCTGGTATACCGACATTCTGAAATGGACTTGCTCCAGTAATCCCGGGCCGACCGGCCGCTTCAATATGGCCTGTTGTGTTGGGCACATCTCCAGAATTCGGCAGCGATTGATTTACAGTGTTCGCGACGTATGCGGAAGCGGCGTCCTGGCGCGGGGCGTCCTTGCTCGAGTCGGTCGTGTCTTGTGTCTTGAGGAGGGTCTCGACTTGCTCTGTATCCCATGAGTCAGTACCATCCACCAGCAGAAGTATGCGCAACTTACGCAGCCGTTGTTCGAGCAGCTTGACGTAGCCGCGCTTGGGTCCACTTTTCTTGCGTACTTCGTCGTATGCACAATCGTGGTTCAGACGTTTACAGGTCGAACATGTTGGCCGGGTGCCGTCGCATCGCAACTTCCGCTTCCTACACAGAACACAGGCAATCCTCTTGACCTTGCTTGATCCATCCTGTTGCGTTTCCTGACTGTTGGTAGCATTCGGGTCTTGCGCTTGTTGGGAGAGGTCGTTGAAGAACGACTCGTCTGGCGATTCGGATCCGTTGGAAGCCATGTTGGCGAATCTTGCTGGTCTTTGGCAGTCCAGGAGGAGTCTTGGATCCACGTTGGCTCAGACGAACCGCCCCCGCGTAAGCACGGCTCAAACGGATGAGGGTCCTCTGTCAAGCCACGATTTCCGTTTGATTGCGAGATCTTAATCGAAGCTACGTCGGCAGTTTAACGGTCGCTCTAAGCGTCGGTGTCGGTGAAGACCTTGGAGTCTCGAATGCGCGCGGGTAGGCACCAGCGGTTGATCAGCACTAAGAGCGCGTTATGCCTCTAAGGTGGGTGTCAGAGTAGGATGTTAGAAGTGCATGTGCTATTGGGTGTAGAACAGGCCATGGCTGAGCTACGCTCATGTACCTGGTCTCACCTGCAAGGCCGTCCGCGCAATGCGTGTTGCCTTAAGCGTGAGGTGATGTGCAACGTCGAGCATATGGACTAATTATGGCGGATCTCCCGAGTCTTGGGATTGCCAGCAAGGACCCCCTACCGTAAGTTCGCAGCTACATAGACGATTACTGATACAGAGAGTTTGCTCTCTAGGTCCTGATAGCTACGCTGGAGCCCATGGTGTTTCTTTGCGTGCCCTGTTGTACATGTGGTTGTTTCGTGGCTGCAAGGTGCTGTATGCAGCTTCGCCAGAGCGGCATGGTGGGGCAGTAGTCCAGCCCAAGATGGATCAAAATGCGACCGATCTACGCGCAGCGTCTTGTGTCATCAACCCAAACATGGAGACCAAGTGTCGGCCTGTCAACGGTCACACCAGTAGTAATCATGAATTCACGTACTTGAACGGTGCGCGCAGAGATAAGAATGCTCAAAGTTAAATAATGATGCCACCTACTGTTCATTACACGACTTGATGAGCTCGTGGCAGGAGATCTGGTTCTGCCCAGGCCACAAGCAGCCAAGTGATCTATGCATGCCCAGGAAGCCGTGGTCGTGAGATTGCAGAAGAGCCGCAACGTCCAAAGTTCCGACCCCCGAGCTTGGACTCTGCTGGCACACGTCAGGACCTCAGATGCGACCGAGAGAGTCCCCGAGCCTCGAGTATTTGATGAAGGCGAAATTCGAGCAGATGATGCCGAATTGCTTGAACAGGGGATGCACGTTTGGTTGTGCGATGCGCATGATGGGGTATCGGTAAAGCACTGGGGTAGCCAGACCAGCTGGAGTCTAGACAGCACAGCTAACATTATGCATTTGCTGCTGTTGTGCAAACATGTCGAAACGCAACTGGGTGAGTACTGATGTATATTGGTAGACGGCATGGCATGCGACTACAGTATATGGTACAGCTGCATCTTGAGCATATAGTACACCGGCGGCCACCCTACCTCGCCCTCCGCTTTCCTTGGTTGCGGGGTTTATCTTGGACGAGGAATGTGTGCTTGTTCCTCTTGTGCCTCGTTTTGTAACCTCCCTTTGCTGGAGTGCCCCACGGACTGACGGGGTGCACGTTACCCTTTGATTTACCACGACCACCACCGTGGGGATGATCGGCTACGACATGTTAGAAGACTGCAACTGAAGTGAATGATTCGAGAACTGACCTGCGTTCATGGCGAGACCACGGACCTCTGGTCGCTTTCCGAGCCACCGTGAACGTCCGGCCTTTCCGAGTGATGTGAAGTGTGATTGCGGGTTGCTGGCAACGCCAATAGTGCAGCATGCGTCTGCGCTGACTTTGCGGATTTCACCGCTCATCAAGCGGATGATAACGTGCTTGATCTCTGAGTTGTTGCCCTTCTCCACCTCCTCCTTGTTCACGATGATGGCGTATGTACCGGCACTGCGACAGAAGACACCCCCACCTTTTGTCTTGGTACCAACGTTGTATACCTGCGAACCGAGGGGCACCATGTGGATAGGAAGGCAGTTTCCACGTGCGGCTGTCTTCGCGGCCAGCATACCGGGATCAATGCCACCACCCATGCTGTCAATCAGGTCCTTGGGAATACCTGTCCTGTAGCTCTCGACCTCATCGCCCGCCCTCATGCCATCTGCGGCGATGATGTACGACTTCTCTCCAGTAGCCACGCGGGTGATGAGGGCCAGATGCGAGCTCCGGTTGGGGTCGTACTCTATCCGCTCCACCACATGCTTGCCGGGTAGGTATCGCTTGTAGTCGACGATGCGTATCCTCCTCTTGTGGCCACCACCTCTGTGTCTGACCGTGACCCGTCCTGTGTTGTTCCTTCCTCCGAGATGCTGCCCCTTCCGTTCGATGGTGAGCTTCAGGTGCGGTCGTCCCTTCCACAGGTGGTCGTTGACGGGTCGCTTGAGATGGCGCAGACCAGGCGTGCGAGGCTTGTATGTGCGCAGAGGGATAAACTTCTCCTTGCGCGAGCCTTCCTGTTTCAGTACTCCGGCGTCGGCAGCCACGGTAGGCTGTATCGCTGGGGGAGGTTTAAGGTCGATGGCCTGGACCTGTGCGTAGGTGCGGGCAGACAGCAGCGCCCGGCCCAGTCGCGAGGGCTGGAAACGACATATCCGCGGCTGCAGCATATCTGGGAGTGCAGCTGGGGACGCTGGATGCTTCACGCTGGTGCAATGGACGCCGGCTGGATGGCGTGCAGCTGCTCGTCATGTCACGAATAATTCTCAAACCCGCCGCAATTGGCTAGGCCGGCCCGGGTGGGTCGGGCAGGCAGGGCGCGATGTCCCAGCAACAACGTGTGTCTGCTTCCTCGCCCACCACAACACGCTCGTCGTCTTCGCCATCTTTACGCTGCACTTGCCAGAACCCCCATCTCACAGCCCAGCTGCTCGCCCGCGACCCATCTTACTGCACGGGCAAAGTTTACGCGTTGGGGCCTGGTGTCATCTCTGGTAAGTCCACTGACGCGCCTGTGGGGCGTGCACTGTTGCCCTCTGCCAGCCTCGAATGCGATTTTGGCGCGTGGGACGTGGAAGCCAAGCTAGCCTGCCCTCGCTCAAAACACACAACATACCTCTCTTCCTACCCACAACACACCTTGGTGCACATCCTCTCTCGCCCTCCCCCGTCCTCTCCACTCCCTCTCACGATTAATTGCAGCTGGACCGTTACCCTGTCCACTCAATTACCACGCACCGAGCGCTCCAAGGGTTCGTCTCTCTCGCCCGTCACGTCACCGTCGCTGCCGCACCCCATCGGGCGTGTCAGTCCGGCCAGCTTTCGCGAGCATCAACCGTGGTTCTGTATGCAATATCGCTGCATGCACACCGCGGCTCTCGATGCTCTCGCGTTGGCAGCCTCTACGCGCGCTTTTTCAAGCTTCACCGAGCTCTGCTGACACCTCAAAACAGTGTATCAAAACAAGTCCTACAGCCGCCATTCCACTCTCAGATATACTCAACACCAGGATACCTCTCTAGCCTTGATCAGCATACATAATATTGCTTGCAATGCCTCCCGCTGTACGTCGTCGCCCTTTCACCTGCTCTCGTCCCATCTGCTCTCGTCCCATCTCCCATCGGCGCGAAGCAACACGTCCATCACGATTCACTCTACTAACGCGTGTTACAGGCTCGATCTCTCAGGCAGCGCGCCGTCACCAACGAGAACGATGAGAACGCGGCTACGACACGCTTGACGCGTGCAAAGGCCGCCAACCTCGGCGCCAACGAGTCTGCTGCCGACGTGCCCAAGAAGACTCTCCAGGCGAAGAAGTCTACTGCTACTCTAGGCGCGAACGGTGCTGCCACGCGTAAGCGTGCTGCCCTCGGTGACGTCAGCAATGTCACCAAGACCGACGGCCTCGGTGCTGTCGCGAAGGATGGAAAGAAGGTCCTGGCCACCAAGGGCGCAGTCTCCAAAGCAGCACAGCCCACCGGCATCAAGAAGCCATCGCGGGCCAACTCGACGCGTTCCATGTTAGAACCCAAGGAGAAGAACCTCGCGTCATCCGAGGTGAAGAAGCGCGGTGCCAGCGGCAACGGTATCGCCGGCCAACCAGCCAAGAAGCGAATGCAAATTACCAAGACCGTCAAGGAAGAGGACCCCGAGGAGGAGCTCAAGGAGGAAGATGAAGAGGAGGCTGAGAACGTTGTCCCAGAGGAGAACGTTACCGAGGAGAAGGACACCAAGGCTGCCAACGGCACCAAGAAGGAGCTCGAGCCCATCACAGAGGTCTTCTACAAGGGCCCAGACCTAGACAAGGAGGACGTCGATGACCCATTGATGGTTTCCGAGTACGTTGTTGAGATCTTTGAGTACCTCAAGGAGCTAGAGATTGCGACCATGGCCAACCCGGACTATATGGAGTCCCAGACTGAGCTTGAGTGGAAGATGCGCGGTATTCTCGTCGACTGGTTACTCGAAGTTCACACTCGCTTCCGCCTCCTCCCGGAGACTCTCTTCCTTGCTGTCAACATCATCGACCGCTTCCTCTCAGCCAAGATCGTCCAGCTTGACCGTCTTCAGTTGGTTGGTGTCACCGCCATGTTCATCGCGTCCAAGTACGAGGAGGTCCTCTCTCCCCACGTCCAGAACTTCCGTCACGTCGCCGATGATGGCTTCACCGAGGAGGAGATCCTCAGCGCCGAGCGTTTCGTCCTCGCTGCCCTCAACTACGACCTGAGCTACCCCAACCCCATGAACTTCCTCCGCCGGATATCAAAGGCCGACAACTACGACATCCAGACCCGCACACTGGGCAAGTACCTCCTCGAGATCGGCTGCCTGGATCACCGCTTCCTCGCCCACCCCCCCAGCCAAGTCGCTGCCGCTGCCATGTACCTTGCCCGCCTCGTCCTCGAGCGTGGCCCTTGGGACGAGACCCTCACACACTACGCCGGCTACAGCGAGGAGGAGATCCAGCCTGTCCTGCAGCTGATGATCGACTACCTCTCCAGCCCTGTCATTCACGAGGCCTTCTTTAAGAAGTATGCTAGCAAGAAGTTCTTGAAGGGTAAGTCATCGCATACTCCACTCTGTCGTTCACAACTAACATTCACCAGCATCCATCGTTCTACGCAAGTGGGCAAAGGACTACGTCGCTGCCTACGGTAACGCGCTCCAAGAAGAGGAGGAGGAGGCCGCCATTGTCCCCTCCAAGACCAAGAGCCAGCGCTAAGACTGTTCTCCTTCTTTAGGCACTTCCGGTCTTTGGCTCAGGAGTCGCAAAGCTATTCATTACCGCCATGCTCACTGAGCAGCGGATGACGATGTTCGGTTCGACCGGGAGCAAAATTTACGATTGCATCCAAGCCAACCCCTTCATGTTTACATCTTGGCTAATACCATCTTCCGGTCGGCGTTAATACATGGGATGCAAGTTGGTTGCACAATTCTGTTATGGTTTCTCTTGTCTTGTTTTGGAACATGGAGTCGCAGGCGTTCATCCCCCATGCACGGAGGCGCAAATCAAGGGTGCTTGCCTTTTCACATCACTCTTAACTTCATTTCTCTGTAGCGGCTCTGGATACTCGCTCATAGCATTAGCGATCGATATACCATGAATGGTGTGATATGGGAGAGGCTATTCCTTGGTGGATCTGCATGTGGTGTCTGTGGGAAATATGGGTCATTGGGATAGCAAATGTGAGGCAGCTCTCAGAGTGTATGAATAGTCTGAAAACGCACTGTTTCGCGTCAAATGGAGACAGAAATTTCAATGAGCCTCGCTTTCGTCTGACGTGACGTGACTTTACTCTGACATTGCACGATGATGCCATACATGCTGTTAGCCATCCTTCCCCAGCCATCTCATGCAAAGACCCACACCTAAACACGAAGAAGCGCATCGCGTCGCGCGTCGAAGACTCGTAAAATACACGATACGTCACGACCGTGTTCAGACGCCACATTTTCCTTGCTTTCTCGCGTTCTGCGTGCATTGACACCAACACGCGCCCGCGTTGCCGCTCCACGATCGCGATGCAGACGTGCCCAGCCCAGCCCGGCCATGTCGCGTTCCCGCGATCAATGTGCCTCGGCAATTCACGTCGACATCGGCGCTAATCTGAATACGGAGCTCACCTGGATGCACTGCGACCACAGCTTTGCGCGTTGATTGCGTGTTGATCGATCATCAATACGGGGAAGACCCTGATTATCGTTTTTATCTTTCGTCGTCTTTTTTGTTCGATTTTGAAGACGTTTGAGTTAGTGGAGGTTGTGAATTGTGCTGCCACAACGACTTGCACCTGCGTTATCTGGACAGCGTTACCGGCCCTTCACCTACCTACCGGAACAAGACGTGGATATCCATATCAACAAACGGCATCGTCAGCACCCGTTCATCAATTATCATCAACATCCATCAATTACTATTCACCGTTCCGACTACTACATCCCCACAAACCAGCACAACCAACGCTCCTAGCAACCAACCAACACTCCCACCAACGCAGCCATGCAAGAAACGGACCTCCACTACCCACCCCAAACCTGCCCCTTCTGCACCATCGCCGCCGCCTTCCCCTTCCCCTCATCATCACCCTCGTCTATTTCCCCGAGCAGTCCACCGCCCACTCCCTCTCTATGGAAGAGCAGCAGTACCCTAGAACAAGACTTGTTAAAAGAGAGTATACCAAAAGAGGAGGAGAGCGATCCAGAGAAAACGAGTCCGAGTAGTTTTGTGGTGCTGAGGAGTAGGGATGTCGTTGCTTTTCTGGATATCTTGCCGATGACGGGAGGCCATTTGCTTGTTACTACGCGTCAGCATAAGGTCAAGGTTGCGGATATGGAGGCTGTGGAGAGTAGGGAGATTGGTACGTTAGGAAACGAATCTTTTGGGTAGAAGAAGAGTGATATACTGACTATGTGACTAGGTTTCTGGTTACCGATACTAGCACGGACGGTGGCTAAAGTAACGGGCGTGACGGATTACAATATCGTGCAGAATAACGGTATGTTTCTTGCTTCTTTTCCATCTCCTCGTATTCTAATATGTACTTGCAGGAGCACGTGCAGCACAAGTAGTACCTCATGTACATTTCCACATCATCCCGCGTCCGGAGACGATGCCGGAGATCAAGAATAAGAGTTGGACTATGTTTGGACGGGGTCAGAGGGATGATTTGGATGATGAGGAGGGGGCTAAGATGGCGGGGGAGATGAGGAGGGTGTTGAGAGAGGAGGTGGAGAAGATGGGCACTGCGAGTGCGAAGTTATGAGAAGTTATAACCATTTTGAATCGATTCGTTTTGGACATGAGCGCGTGGATGTATAACTATTATTGAGCTCATTATTGCTGCTGTTGAAGCGCATAATTCATGTTCAGTATCATCAACTTTGAGAAACTATCCAAAGAACGCTGGGTATCATCACTCTCTCCCTGTCCATCCATTACATTCATCCTGCGACTCCAAGAACGCCCATTCCAAACACTTGCGCATTCTTGATCCACCACATCATTCATCAAGAAGGACGCTTACTGGCTCTTCTTGGCCTTAGTCTCATCCGCAGGTACGAACCTCTTCCTAACAGCCTTGATCATCTGCGAGAACCAAAAGAAGTTGAGCATGCTCAACGCCGTGTTACCCACCAAGTATACACAGACCAGCCACACGGGCAGCTCGCCAGCTGTGCAGTTTCCGGGTCCCTCGAGACCCATACTGCTGTTGGAGGTTCCGTCGCACTTCTGGGCCTCGAGCAGAGAGCTCATGAGTTCGGGCTTGGGCATAGTGAGCGCCTTGTAGATGTCTGAGTAGATCATCACAGACTGGTATGAACCCCAGACGATGCGACAGCCGAAGAAGGTAACGAGGAGGGCGATGCCGTTGTAGAGCTGGAGCTTTGAGCCAGTCATTCCGAGCTTGTCGCAAAACCAGTGGACGTTGAGGAACGGGGTGGAGAGTTCGTAGAGGACGAAGGAGAGGCCGTAGTAGTTTCCAAAGGGTTTCTAGAAAACTGTCAGTATGTGTGATGCTGTACGGAAGCAGAGAACGTACGAAACCAATGCAGGTCACGGCCAAAGCACCGATCGCATGGATCAAAGAGCTTACGCCAGCAATGTTGATGTATTGCGCGGACACTTGGAGATCCCATAGGAAGTACCCAGCTGCGAATCCCTGCACCATACCGCTAGCTGGCGTATATCCCCAAAGTCTACCCCTCCAGTCCATCTCGTGCCTCTGTTCATCCTTGAAGATGACCCACAGCGCAGCGGCGCAGATGAATAGCGCTTGAATCATAGAGACCCAGTGGATGTCCCAGTTGAGTCGCGTGCGCTTATTGAAGCTCCTGTATACATTCGGGCAGACGAGTCGCGAAACGGCGGGAGAAAGGACATGGAGGATGAGATGGTAGCCCAGGAAGCCGAGGAGGATCTCGTGGACGTGGTACGGAAGCGTCGTCAGGCTCAGCTTGTCGGCGAACGACTTGCTAGACTGCACGAGCAGCGAGGGCGCAGGAAGCGGGTCCCGCATATTGGGTCTGAGCAGGATATCGACTAAAGACATGGTGTATCAGTTTCGCTGTGCGCAACGGTCGCAAGAGCAGGAACAGGGAGAAATACTGGACTCTTGCGGCTACATGTTCCGCCTATATATACTCGGCGGTGGGGCGCAGTGATCTTCGAGGGTTTCCTCTTGCGTCTGGAGTGTCTCGTGTGTCCTACATTGCATGCCTCGGATGGGCGTTTTACCGTGATCACTGAGTCGGCACATGCGGGGCTAAGGCTGCTGCGATCGAAGCTTAAAGCTTACCCTGACGGCGCTAGGCGGGAATTCGCCGGCGTCCTGCATGCACCACTCCGCGACTCTATCGGTCCTGCCATCGTCATCCCTATCCTCCTCTTCCACAAACCTCACCTGGTCAGCACAACAAACCTCACTCGCCTCTGAGCTCCTATACATCTCGCACAGCGCTGTGTAGGTTCATCCGCGCCCTCCGAAAGAGCATGGCGGCATTAGAAGGCTTGCCCTTCAGAAAGACTAACGAACCATGGCGTCTCCAACAGCGACCTCCAAGGCTGCTGTCATCACTCCCAGCGCCCTGAGTTCTCTTCTTCGCTAGGCAACAGCCCTTGTTGCTACCGGCACCGGAGAAACATCAACGCCGTAGCGCCCGTTGTCCCGCAAACAGACCTTACCGCCCAATATTTCTGCCGCCGACGACTCGAGCTCCTCTTCACCACAACAACAACAAGTTGCGCGTCTCACCAACGTGCACCTTGATCAGTTGAAGCCGTTGCTGAACCTGTTGCCGAACCTCATTTGGCGCGAACTTGTGCCGTGACATATTCTAACTCAACATGTCCAGTTACGCTACAGACCTAGACGACTTCATGGGGGGTCGTGAGGCTGTCTCACGCTCTCCGTCGGCACCCGCTGATCGCACACCGCCAGAGCCGCAGACCACCAAGAAGCGCAAGGCCGAGAAGGAACCCGAGGTTAGTAACGTCTCAAGCGTTTAGATCAATCGCTAACATGAGACAGACAAACAAGAAAGCCAAGGTCATGGAAAACAAGGCCATCTGGATCTCCAACCTGCCGCTCGACACCACGAAGACGGAGCTCGAGGAAGAGTTCTCACGATACGGCATGATCGACAAGGGCGCCAACGGCGAGCCTCGCATCAATCTTTACAAGGATGATGAGGGCAAGTTCAACGGCACTGCCATGATCGTATACTTCAAGAAAGAGGCGATCGTCAATGCCGTCAAGCTTGCGGATGACTACCCTCTGCGCCTTGGCGAAACCAAGCACGGCAACATCCGCGTTGAGCCTGCCAGCATGGACTACAAGAAGGAGAAGGATGGCGATAAGGTGGCATCGAAGCTGACACGTTCTGATCGTAAGGCGTCAGAACGTAACAGGCAAGAGCTCAACCGGTAAGTTCGCCAGTCTGGTTATCCTCAATCTGTTACTAATAGAGATATAGAAAGCTCAACGAGTGGTCCGACAACGAGGAAGAGGTTGCCCAAACCTTCGTGGCCAAGAAGAACAAGTGGGCGAAGACCGTCATCATCAAGGGCATGTTCGACGTGGACGTGATGAAGAACGACCCGGATAACTATGGCGATGTCTTCGATGATACGATGGAACCCGCTAAGGCGATCGGCGAAGTCACCAAGGTCACGATTTGGGACTTGGAACCTGAGGGCATTGTCACCGTCCGCTTCAAGGAGTTCGAGGACGCAGAGAAGTTTGTGGCCTGGAAATTCGGCGGCAAGAGATACGAAGGGCGCGATCAAGAGCTTATGCTTGCCGAGGACAAGCCGCGCTTCAAGAAGTCTGGCCGTGGCGATATTCCTGACAGCGATTCAGAGTAACCACCTGTCAAAGCCAAGGCTTGGACAGCTCTCACTTCGAGTTGCGCATGCTTTACTGTATAGCTTTGGACGAGTAGGATACGAGATGGAGGTTGACACGTGGACGGGGAATGATACCCTCATGTACTACACATGAATATGAGCCAAATGGCCATCGACTGCAATTGAGCAAGTCACCAACGTCACCATCTCCCATTGATCAATCTGAGTGATATTGCACAGTGTTTTCACGCACGCTAACATATATATACATTGTCACAGAAGCGCCCTGATGAAGTTACGTCAGAACATTCACCGGAGACAACCTAAGACGCAAGAACAGTATTTGCAAATCCGTGACATTCTCATATCTAGCCCATTATCAAACTACATTATTGAAGAAGTGACCCCGTGAACATGACCCTATACACATGCGAAAAAAGGGTACCAAAGTAATGGACCCTCGCGTGTCTGGCGAAAAGAAGCGATGAAGCCGATCTAGCGACCCATCTGGTATCAATGACATTGAAAAGAAGAAAAAGAAGAAAACTCCATGATGCACCTATGCTCCCATCTAAGCACGGATGTTGCTCATTTACAAGACGAGCGCGGCAGCGGCGGCGAGCAGAGCACCAGCGCCACCAGCGACCTTGACGGCGGCGCCGCTGAACTCAGCTGGGGCTGAGGCGGAGGCCGAACTGGGAGGGATGGGCATGCCGGTGGTGGGCGACATCATGCCAGTGCTGGTGGCGTTGTAAGCAGGCGAGCCGGATGGCATGGCGAAGCCAGATGAGGCACTGGTAGGAGGCATGGCGTATTCAGAGGACATGGCTGGGGCGGAAGACATGGCAGCAGAGGAAGAGGCAGCTGGATAGCCCTCACCCTCGCCAGCAGAGACCATGGTGAAGTTGGCGCAGCCGATACGGGTCTTGTTGCTGAGGTGGACAACGAAGGACAGGGCGCCGAACTGTGATGTATTAGCAAATTGGGTTTCCAACTTATAGGGTATGAGCGAAACTTACGAAAGCAGGGTCAGAGGGCAGAGTAGCAGAGTACAAGTCGGTGTACTCGGCTGAGAAAGTGGTCTCAGTAGCGTTTCCGTACTTGCCGCTCAAGTCACCAGTCTGGCAGGTCTCAGGCTTGGTGGCATCGCAGGGAGGAGCCTCGCCGCGCATGTACGGGTCCAGATGAGCGCCGGTACCAGTGCAATTGCCGTCAGAAGGAACAGGCTTAGCGTGGAGGTGGTACATGAAGGGACCGCCAGTCTCGGGAAGGCCAGCGAAGGAGACCTGGAACTTGACGCCCTTGCCGTCGGCGCCGGTGGTGGCCTCGATGGATCCGGTGAGAGCGCTGCCCTCCTTGGCGGGAAGAGTACCGACGTACTTGGCGCCCATGGGGTTGCCCATTACGACGGGAGCGGGAGTGCCTTGGGCGGCGACAGCGGTGGCCGCGGCCAGAACAGAGATGATTGAGACAAGCATTTTGAATGTGTGGCTGGTGGTTTCTTGTGAAAGAATGAAGTTGAGACTCGACTGTGGGAATTGTTTAGCGAGTGCAGGCGGAAGAGTAAGAGTAGATGAGCGAAGTAACTGAGTGATCGGGGAAATGAAGTGGAGGCGCCAAGTGTGTTTATATGAGATCCGCGCAATTGAAGTGCGAGAGGGGAAAGCGCGATAGAACCTTGTCGAACAAATATGCAAACGGAAAGTTCCACGAACGGCACCCGGGTAGGAATGGAATGGGAATTGGGAAAGCGCAAACCGCTCGAGGGACTGTGATTACATACCGAATATTATAGCGAACGCTGATAAGCAAAGCGAAAGACTCTGTTGGCAGACAATGAACTGTAGGAAAAACCAGTGAAGGGGGCTTGCTTGCAAAGGGGATGATTCCTCAGGAAGCTGGCGGCTGGCAAACACTATATAATCTTTCCTGCCGGGTAGAGGCGCAGCAGGCACCATGCACCGGTGGTTGGGGCGTCACACACCAAGAAAGTCCCATCACGCATCCATCTGATCCAACGCCCATTTCCCGCAAAGCCTTGCGCGCCGTCACTTGCACGCAAACCCACTACGGAACCCTCTTTTCTGCCGGTTCGCTCCGGCTGATTGGCCGCCGCGAACAAAGACTGCCTTCGTTATTGCATGAAACCAGGTGTTGTTTGCCGTTTTTGCGCTAAAGGATGCGCGCCCGCTTCGCCGTTTCGAAACACCAAGACGCATGGGCGCTTTGCCGGCCAATCATTGCGGGGGCGGGCCTTGTTCCTGAGGCCAGGGCTGAGCCTGGTGTGGAGTTTGTCAGACTTGGCCCCAGCCAGCTCAGTTTTCTGTATGCGCCAATGGGGGCTACATCTTGGGGCTGGGAAGTAGGAGTCATACTGCCACGTAGGCTGGAGGCTACGAAGAGTTGCAGTGTTTTTGTCGTGTCGTCGCTTGCTGATGCAGATTCTCTGAGGAAGAGAGGGTCAGGCTGTCGCAGATGTCCTTTCTGCCGCCAATATACCAAGCTTTGACTACTGCAGCGCTAGTCGGATCTAACAGTCTTGGTACAGATCCAAATTTACCCCATACAGTGGCATGGCGCTTGCGTGTTGCACCCTTTCCACTAGCCGAGTCCCTAAGGGAACAAACATTCCACACAAAACTCTCGTTGTCGCGCTTATCGACGCAAATAGACCAAACATGCGTTCCTGGCGCGGGTGTATCAGATGCGATTTACTGAGGCAGAGAGGCGGTGGACAAGGTTGCACGGCACGGCAAAGACGGGTGTGACTCGAGATCGAGATGAGATGAGATGATGTAGAAGGAGGAGGCGTGGGAAGCAGAGGAAATTGACGAGAAGCGGTTGAAGTGGGAAAAGACAGGGTTGCTGCATCTATCTGATGCAGAGTGATATGGAAACATCGAAATTACATACTCATCATTACTCTTTCGCATATTGCGCAGGACGCTTGGGTACCCTTCTTACTCAAATACCGGCATCCATACGGATCGCGGCATGCCCGGTGGAGAACGATCTGTTCCACGTAAATTTAGCGCATCGAGGATGGGGCTACCTCAGTAGATCCAATTCTTTCCGAACCTTGTAGCTGACTCTAGGACAGCACCAACCGATTATTTTCGCTGCACCGGCAGCGACCAGATCCGCTGCGACATCCTGAACGGTTTTGTATGCCCATGGAGCTTCTTCAAAGACAAGGTCTTTCTCGTCACAGATAACCCACGTGCCTTCTGGGTCTTCTGCATTCGGCTCCAAGAGGTTGATGCCTTTGTACTTCTTACCCAGGGTCTGGAGAGCCTTTGCCCGAGACATGGCTCGTCCTGCGCCATGGGCCAGCGAAAGTCCGTTTTTAAGCCCCCATGAGTTGGCTTCCGAGAATGTTGGCTGGAGGATGAGCGTGGCGGTGCTCCGGGAACCGGGCAGTGGAAGGAGACCGAGCGGCAACTGAGTTTTGGGGTCGTATGTTGGGGCTGCGCCTTTTCTATGGAGAAAGACGTATTCTTTTGGAGTGTTTTCATCGCCAAGTGCTATTTGGTCCAGCGCCTCGGTCAGACTGCGTTCAGGCGTAGGTTCCTCCGCAGCTGAAGAAGGGGCAGGTGGAGGCCAGGCCACACATTCGACGTTGTTGTGCCAGATGTCAACTACCTTGCGCTTCCTCAGTGCCGCTTTGGCTGTCGCGATCATCGTTATGCCCTCTTCGCCGAAGTCGCTTGCGTTCGAGTCGCCCAGCTGCCAGTCTTTATTGCCAGGCTCAAGACATGCAAGGAACCGCAGGGCAATCAGATCTCGGTTCGCCTTTGCCCACTCGCAGGCCTTGTTGTGCTCCTCCAGGTATGCATTGGCGTCCTCGCTATCGTCCGGAAAGCTTGTGCGTGAGTCGGTTGTGTACTTCTTGAGAATGCTACCTCCTAGTCCTCGTGATCCCGAGTGGACTAGCAGGACGACATCATCTTGATGGAGTCCATCGTCCGACTTGGCAAATCCCGATTCCTCGACGACCTGGATCTCGGCAAAATGATTCCCAGCTCCTATGGTGCCCAGAGCAGCGTCCCACTGTTTACCGGCGGAAATGCTACAGTTGTCTTCGTCCAAGAGCCATTTCTCTCGATAGGCTTGGTTGCGCCAGGCACCCTCTAGTCCCCGAAGCTGATTAGCAACATTCTTGCCTTTGTTCCCATCAACCTGGCTTCTGTTGAGTGTTGTTTTGTACCAGGCCATACCACATCCGATATCGCCACCGATTAGAGGAGGATGGATCCATCCCTTGGAAGCAAAGACTGCGCCGATGGGAAACTTGGTGCCTGGGTGGAGATCGGGTTGACCAACGGCGTGTATGATACCCGGAAGCGTGCGCGCGGTAGTCTCAAGCTGAGTTAAAGCCAGCGGTTCAATGAGGGTTGCTTCAGATGCTAATATTTCAACTGGGCATTGTGGATTTGCGTCGGCTATTATATTGTGTCAGTAATTGATCGTAATACGGAAGGGGATAAGCACAGATATTGAGCGCAAACTTGCTCAAACGTCAGTGCTACTTACCATGCACCCCTGATACTTTCCTCGCACCAACATAGTCTTCTCCCGCTGAGACGAGCAATACGACATCGTTATTAATGTTGCTCTTCCAATCTGCTTCAGATACAAGCTCTTGCCCGCTGCGTCCGACAAAGACACGAGTAGGTTTCTTTACACGCAGTTTTGCCTGCGCACTCTTGAAGACAAGCGCTCGGACAGAAGACGAAGCTGTGGGGTTAGTGGACGCGGAAGCGGGTATAAGGATTGGGCATTTCGTTGATTGGTTTGCATTTGATGCGAGAGTCAGACGTATGGCGGGCATCTTCGCACTGTGGTTGAGATTTTGGGTCTGGTGGAGTAACACGATCTCGAAAGGGAAGCGATAGTCGTTCGTGATATGGACATAGAACGAAAGTTTGATCACAGAGTCTGGTGACAGGACTTTATTTACACTGCGCGTTCGCAAATGGTTTACCTAGCGCAGCGCCGCTCACTTCGACTCATCTTGAACTATTCGAGCACAGCCACAATGTCTTTCACCACAACAAAGCGTAGCGTAACGGATGCCTTGCCCCAAAAACATCGAACAAGCATAGTGCTAATGCACTTCCACATTGATGGTTAGATAAGTGCTTCACGTGACTGCGCTTTTACCTCACAGCCGCCGACGTGAAGCTATGGTTGGGATCGTATACCAAAAACGCAGGCAAGGTGTGGTAAGCGGTGTAAGCAGAAAAGCAGGGCCAAAGTAAAAGGAAGAGATCATCAGGGCCCGCCGTCCCGTATCGCGGGCGTGGACGAGAACGTGCCATGTGCATGACGTACTATAGTCCGATTGGATGCTTGGACCGCGTTGCCGTTACAACGCACCTTGCTTGGCGCATACCACACAGCCGCACCGACTTTGATGCCCACGACATCTCGACACCTGCCAGCCCATACTGCGACCGTCCATTGCACTGCGCTTCCAATTGTGAGTTACTAATTGGCACACATCGGTCCCACGCTCATGCAAACAGCGCCCAGCCACTACTACATCGATAGCCGTAGCCGTCCCAACAACAAGCCGGCCCCGTACGACATCACCACTCTCCGGCGCAAGCCGTACACCTTGCCTCACGAACGACCAACATCTATAATCTCACAATGCGCACATTCTTCGCCCCGCTACTGCTTGCGCCGCTCGCCGCGCTCGCCGCACCCGATGTCTACGGCGACTTCGAGGCCGCCGTTGCGCCATTACCGACCCCCGTATACGAGGCCATGGAGACATCTCCCGCCGACGGCAACCTCGAACTGCTCAAGCGACAAGGCAATGCGTGCGCGACTTCCTACTTCAACTGCGCCGGCCTTGGCGCGCCAGGACTCTGCTGCCCACGAACAGCCGTCTGCTCAGCCGACCAGGCAGGCCACGTAGCATGCTGTCCCCAAGGCGTCGCCTGCACAGGAGCCATCGGCGCAGTCCCCACCGGCGCGAACCCCTCGGCCACCTCGACCGTCTCCTTCGTAATCGCATCCACAACCGGGGAGCAGCCCTTCGTGCAGGAAACAAATGGCGCAAACCACGGAAGCACGGTACAGAACCAATTCTACCCTTTCCCGTACATACCGACGACTTACACCAACGCAGCTGCCTGCTCGTCCGCTTATACAAGCTGCCAAAGCGATGCTGCAAGTTGTACGACTGCTCTAGCCAACGGCGCGGCTGGCGTCACCATCTCGGCCCCCAACGGCGGCGGCGCTACCATTACCGCGATTCCCAGTGTCGGCCTCCAGTCCGCTCAGAGCATCTGTTCCAGTCTGAGCAGTCTGGGTTGCTCGCAGCTTACCGTCGAGGCTTGTGCGGCTTTTGACGGTCAAGGGAATGCGGCGAAGAGAGCGCGGTGTGCCGACTACCTTATGACAGCGGGAGTGGCCGTTGGAATCGCAGGGCAGCTGCTGAGATGAGGAAGAGATGAGCTCGTGTCTTCGTTTCTTTGTGGATAATACGGTGGTTTCTGATGTTCATGAGCGGAAAATACGAATGTGCTTTGGCACAGGCTTGCTTGTGTGGATTTTGCCACGATATGGCGTTCGTAAGGAGTTAAGCGGTACAGCATGCGGCTGAAATGTTTGGTTACTCAAATCTGTATATGCGATCAATGAGATTACATAACTTTTTTTTTTCATGTTAAACCGTTCTACTATGTTCCGTATTGTCATGCTCGGTTCACTGTTCGGACAGCAATCTCTCTCGGCCAGTATCTGATGGAGTAAGACTACAAGTTACTCTAATATGTTCAGCTAGAAGACACTGCTGCTAATAACGAGGGAGTCTTAGAAATATAATCTTCTGCATTGTACAGCAAGACCTTAACAGAGACATGCAAGTATAGAAGGTAAGAGAAGAGCGAGCATTGCGTGAGCGGTAATGTTGGACTGGACACTGGACACAAAAATATGGTAGTCCATACATAGCACTATATCCTCTTCTCACCAATCTCCCTTCCTGTTCATTCCAACGCTATTCCAACGTGTTCAAGCACAGTAAATACAGCAAAAAAGAAGATATCATGAACGCGGCTAGACTCGAACCAGCACCTCCCACACGACTCCCGCGGCGGTTTTTAGTCCGACACACGCCCTTTTCGCGGTCCTGCAGGCCCGACAGAACAAGGGACTACTCAGTAGTGGATTACTTGGCGTGGACGTCTTGACCATTGGACTACGCATTCTGGGTTGGTTTGATTGATGGTGAGATGGGTAGTTGGAGTGGTTGTGTAGGGATATATTGGGTGAGGTCGACGGATGATGGATGGCATGGGTTTGTCTGGGGAAGTGGTGAGTGAAGTGAGAGAGAACGCAGTACGATGTGTGAGTAAGAACGCAAGTAAGATGAGAGAATATGTTGAGAACGTTTGCATTCTCTGATTCGTAAAGCGAGTGTCGTGTTCATAAAGACATAAACCTACAATGGTTTCCCACGCATGGGGAAACCGGGTATCAAGATCGTGTGAAACAAAAGCCCATACAAGGCCCTCTCTTTCCTCCTCCTCATCCTCATTCAAATATTCCATCATCCTAGTGTCATAAAGAGCGTGCCAAAAACCAAATAACCAAACCAATGCTTTTCAGATCCCACCTCCCAGATCACACCTGATCCCGTGGCTCAACCCCCCTAACAGCAACCCCATCAATCCCCCCAAAACTACTCCGCGGACTCTCACCCCCAACATCCTTCCCAAACTCCTTCTGCCTAAGTTCCCAACTCCCCACCCTCTCATGCCCCCTCTTCCCATCACCGCCAAAACTAACAATACCCGCATTATCCGTCGCAGGCGGCGCCCCATTCCCCGCAAGACTAACATCCGGATCCGACGCCAACTTCGCCGAGCCCTTGAAGCCACCAAGATCCGATTTCTGTCGAAGGTTGCCACCAAGACGGTGCTCGACGCGGTGGAAGCGGAGTCCGGTGAGGAGCATAGCGAGCGCGAAGAGGAGGCCTGCTACGACGAGAGAAATGACGGCACCGATTACGCCGCCGACGACGGGGGAGACGCCGTCTTTCCTTGGTCTTTCGTGGGCAGCGGGGACGACGAGCGTGACGCCGCTGCCGTCTGCGCCGCGGCAAAAGAAAGCTCCTGTGCTGCAGGTTTCGCACCAGTCGCTTAGGCCCTGCATGGAGATGGTGCTGAAGAGTCTTTCGAACTCTGTGTATCGCATGTCTGTCTTGGAACGCCCGTTGTTGAACATGGAGTAGGATTGCAGTGGCTTGTCGTCTGCGTCTGTGCCGTTGTGGAAGTAGAAGCGTACCCAGAGGTCGTCGGGGTCGCTGGGCATGGCTGTGTTGGAGCTGGTGCTGAAGAGTTCGAATATCATGGCGGAGCCGTAGGGTGGGATGGATTTGAATTCGGCGGACTGTGTGTCGAGCATCATTAAGGACATGAGGCTCATCATGGCGTCTTGTTCGCCGAAGAAGAAGGTGAGTGGGCTGGGCGTGCTGATCTGGCCTGCGCTGCTGAGATCGCCGGCGCTGTTGTTCTTGCCAGATACGAGCATGTCGAAGGTGTTTTGGATCGAGCCGGCGAGCGTTTTGCCGCCGATGGCTCGGTTGCTGGTGTCGGAGGCTGAGGTGTTGCCGTAGAGATACCAGGCTACTTCGTCGGCGCGGGATCGGAGCGTATCGTATAAGCCGGACTCATTGTTTGCTAGGGTCTTGTAGATACTAGCGTTGTGCATGTATTGGTATGATAAGTAGTCTGCCAGTTCAAGTGCATACATATATGACCTGTGTCAATGTCAGTATTTGAATCACATGACAGTACTGAATAAGCTCTGCACCAGAGAAGGTAGGGCAGGGGTAGGAGAAGACCATAAAATAGAAGGCGAAAGTCCAAGACGTATTCCGTCTCCAATCGTACTTACAGTTCATCTTGATTGACGTGGCCTTCGAACCAATCCAGAGGGAGGTTCTTGTACAGTTCACTGTTGTCTGCCAAATACTCGGCATCCCGGTATTCTTGAGTCGTGAAGTATTTCAGTGCGTCGGTTTGTCCTTGTGGACATTGTCCAGCTCCAGATACAAGTCTCGAAACTGGGTCGTACACATTCGCAGCATGAATGCTAGCGTACTGATATCCGTTGAGTGGGTAGTCGACCGAAGTGCCGTCAGCGAGGACACCCGTGTTATCACCAGTTGCGTTGCTGATGTCATGTGGTGGGTAAAGACCTTGCATGAAGGCTTGCGCCGACGAAACCAGGTATGGCGCATCGAGAGTCTGAACCCAAATCTGGTCGTTGTTCAGGACATCCTCTGATAGTCCCGCAATGGACTCAGGACCGGAAATGAACTTTGATCTGAACTTTTGACCGAGCGCATGCATCTGATTCGCGCCGAAGCTGGTAAGAGTCTGGGTATTATTGCGCAAGATGGGTGTCCGTTCTCCCGTGCGAACGAAAGCGAAAGCAGCAAGTGTATGTTCCGAGTCTGAACTCTGGGCGCCAGCCAGCGAGGCCGAAGCCATTGCGGCGACGATGGTGCGTGTGAACATTGCGAGAGTATGTTGGTGTGGTACCTCAACACCAAAACGATGACGATGGTGCTTGCTGGTGACGATAATACCAGCGACAAGGCTGAACACCAACTGAACCCCGGGATCACATCTCTACTTATTCCCTGCGGCAGCTCGCATGCAGAACTAGATACCCATGCTTATTTCCAAGGCAGCCAGGCACCTTACCCGCCAGCACAAAGAAGCGAACAGTCCGTGGCCCCCAATAACGATAGCGGCTGAACGCCTAATGTAAGCGACGCGGAAGAACTCACAACTCTGTACGCGCCGCATGTAGGGCCGCGGCGTGACTGAAGCTGCAGCCTTGCTGAACAACTATGACATGTTCATGACTGCCTCGAGCCAAATATTGCAGACGGATAGACATCCGTGCAAAGGCATCATCGATGCATGAACCAAAACTTTGCGGTTCCTTGGTTACACAGCATCCGTTTTAGCCGTATTCAACGAGACCATGGTGGATGCCAAGACTATAGGTATGGCTTTGGGGCGCATCGAATCCTGCAAAAATCAACGGGGTGGCTGGGTGCTGACAGCGGGAGCCCAGATCCTATGAAGAATGATTCTCTCGCACGAGTGTGTTGGCCGCTATCCTACGTCCAGTTAGCCTAAGAGATTTACTAACGCTTCTCGTGGTCGTGACCGGGATACCGGTGAGCGGGACTCGGCACATCAGGTACAATGAGGAAACATACGATACTGCCACACCATGTTTTTGTGGGTCAACGGTACAGAACATGAGTCTGCCTTACTTGCATTTAAGCCTTGATTCAACCGGATGGATAATTTTCCTTCTATCGTGGGCGACTTCATCTTCCAGATGTCGCCGTGTCAGGATTCATGTTGGTGAAAATTATTGCGGCGAACAGACGAAGGGTTTGCTTCTTCGAGCGGAATGTAGGGTGGCTAAAAATGGATCAGAGCACTACGTTAGGCCGCCCACAGGGCTGAAAAAGTGCTGCCGACCCATCCGTATCAAGACATGGCACGTGGCACGTGGAACTCGCATTGCTTGTTCGTTTGACATTAAATAATATATGTCCGCCAACAGCGGGCGGGTATTGCTACAATGGCCCTACGATGCTGCGGAAGACCTTCGTCTACCACGCTCAAAACGCCAGTTTGGGTCCGCAATCAAGCGACTAGAACCGGATATACCCTTGCCTTTTCCAAACCATGACTCTACAACGTAACTTCAACACGGCCCTCGGCACCTGGCGCACCACCAGCCTGCAGCGAGGGCAGGAGGTAGGTGATGTCGTCCCAGGGATGTCTGTAAAGACCAGTGCGCAGCCTCTTCTGGTCAAGGAAATGGGCAATGAGACCGATACTTCGGCCAAGGACGAAGAGACCGTTAAGGACACCCATCTTCAGGTAGTCCTCAGCCTCCTCTTGGGTGAAAGCACCACCGTTGCGAACAAGGTCAACGAAGCAGACAGCGATGCAGCCGTCAACGTTGAGAATCAGGTTGTCCTTCTTCGATGTGGTCACCGACTCGACGGCAAGCGCGTAGTCGAGCAGCTTGGTGCTGGGGAAGTTCTTCTTGACGTACTCCTTGACGAGCTCGACACGAAGATCGGGGTTGTTACGCGACTTGATCCTGTGACCAATACCGGGAACTGATAGACGTTAGCTGCTGTAAAAATATGGCTTTCAGCTTAGGCGACTTACTGAGCTTGTTCTCCTTCCTCATTGTGTCAACGAAGTCACGAGGGCTGAGGCCCTTGTCAAAGGCCTTGCTGAACTCCTCAGCGGCGCCGTCGAGCGCACCACCGAAGCGCGATCCAATGGTCAAGAGACCAGAGACCAAGGCACTGATGAGGTCCTTGCCAGCACGGGTAGTGATGATGGTGTTCATGGCACCAGACACAGCTGGACCGTGATCGGCAGTCAACA